TACTGAAAAAGAAGTTACCAGGACTACGATACTTTGTTTAATTCAGCTCTGATAAAAGTTAAAACTAATCTAAGCATGCATTTAAGTTTAATTTGCGCAGAATAATGAGCTCCAGAAACAGGAATTGTAAGTGAATATCGAAGTAACAGTATACAGGACTAAGGAATTTACTTATTTACGTGTTGATAAATTTTCTCTCTTTCGCCTTATGTAGATGACACTCAGGTGCTTCATTTCAAGAGAGACAAAGCTATCGGTAGTTAATGGTAGTTATAGGAGAAGAGAAAGGTATGTACTGCCCAACATACCTCCGATGAATTTTAGGCTTATAAAATGCAGGAATTAGAGTTAGAAGAAGGAAACAAAACATTTGAAGTCGCGCTACATTGATATCTTAAACAAACGATTCACGAATACAGCATTGAGGTAAAAAATTAGTATAACTACTTATAACATTTACTAGTGAGACATTTTGCAATGCACAGTGCACCAATTATAGCTGATTATTTGTGTTTAGCAAACAAATATTCTACATGACATTATAATACTCAGTAGGCAACAATTTTATGAATAATGACGTCTGTTTGACAGTTCTGTTGTTGTTTCATCTCATAAAACTTAGTTTTGGCCATAATTTGTTTGGAGAAGGAAGAAGATGAAGCTCAACAAAGATGTCTCTACGGCGATTTTAACCTCGAAAGCTTTAAGACTGCAGTTTTCTACACGGATGACAATTTGCATCTATTCCAATGCAGTAACAAGAGGAAATTGAAAGTGATAACACTCTTCAAATTGACTTGAGGGCGCAAATGTCAATTACAAGGAGCAAAAAAACAAAATATCATTGTTTAGCTTTTTGTTTTCTTCTCTATACTAAGACAGACCTTTGTGTACAAAAAAAGTATGTACAATCCCTACTTCTGCCTTGGCCGTAGAGGGATAGACATTTATTTATTTTAAAACAATTAGTCCCTTTGATAAATTTGAATAAGGCATTAAGAAGACAAATTTCGCGAGATGATATCATTTCGTAGTTTCTTTACAACCGATTTACAACTAACATGGTTAACAATAATAAAATAAAGATCATGACAATTACTCAGTTAAATAAAAACAAAAGTACATACTAATGACCAATTATTTAGATAGGTCAAGTAGTCCAGGGTAGGCGAAGATTGAAGTCTATTATTTTTTGTTCACACAGTTTAGGCTGTATGTGATTAATCCAAAGTGCTTCCATCACCTTCAATAACCTTGAATTAGAGTTATGTGAAATAATTGTAAAACAGTCATTAATATTTATTTTGTGACCTGACATTAATAAGTGTTTTGCAATGGATGACGCTGGATTTCTATTCAGATTACTGGCATTGGGATTTACCATATGATTTAGTAGCCATTTTGGAACATGTTCTTTCCGATGACATTGGAACATTCTGTTGGTTCTACCTATATAGGTGTCACCGCAGCTGCAGGTGAACTTGTAGATACAGTTTGAAGTAGAGTCCACAAAATTTTATCCTTTAATCTTAGGTACAGGGATCGAAAATGTTCGGCACGTGAGGAAAAGAGATGCGGCGTAGAATGTGCGTTTGATAGCTGACCGAAGTCTTTGAACTGTCAACTGAGTAATTGTCACGATCTTTATTTTATTATTGTTAACCATGTTAGTTGTAAATCGGTTGTAAAGAAACTACGAAATGATATCATCTCGCGAAATTTGTCTTCTTAATGCCTTATTCAAATTTATTTATTTTGTTTATTTTGTTATTCTATGTACTTTTCCGTTATGACTTCGATTATTATCATCGTTATTATTATTATTACTATTCTTACTCTGAATCTTTTCCACTTGACCCACTTGATATTTTAAACCCAAAATTATTAATTTTTACATTTTTATTTTTACAATATTGAATTCTATCTTATCAGATTTCACACCATGTTATGTAACATTTTATATTCGTCTTCTAATCTTATAATTATGTACCCCTTTCCAAAATCTATACACCTTATGTATTATTCTATATACGACATTAATTATTTTGCCATTTGACATTGAAATATGATTGCAATCACATATATTGTATTTGCTTTTCATACTTTTTTATTTCATGACCTAATTCCCTCACCGGATATAATTTTTTTAAACCATATATATACGATTGTACAACTTGATAATAAATTCGTTGAAAAGAATCTCTTCGCTGAATATTGTGTTCTGAATGCTACAATGGGAATTATTAAATTATTCTCTATATTAACCTACTGGGTATTATCGAAATTTCTGCGCATATTTCAGTGGTAAACACAGATGATGAATACGGTTAGGAGTAAGTATGAAGGAAAGACAGTAGTATGGATTTAAAACATAAGCCTTCAAATAAAGGCCTGTTACAACACAAAGTTTTATCACATATAGGAGACCAAATAAAGTATAATTATATTTTAATAGTTTATACACAATGATAAGTTTTGTTATTGGTAATATTTCGAGCAAAATTACTGCCCGTGTTCACACCACTGTTGGAATTGTTTGATTCACACATTTATGATTTGTACTCATATATATACTTCATTATTTTTGCTCATTCATATTTTTTTTGTATTTGAGTTGTATTCCACGTTCATTCATGTTTTTGTATCCAGAATTATATTCCAAGTTGTTGATAGTTGTACTGAGTCACCCTTGTTACATGTATCCGGTGTGACTTTAATGAATATCGATTCTGTTATAAGTCTTTCTTTCCATTTGTTCATGTTAGTTTTTAGAATACACGCATTGTCCCAATCGATATTGTGGTTTTTGTCCCATGCATGTGCAGCTATCGATGAATTTTTTTCAAGATTTTTGTAGGCTTGTGTTCCTGTTGGTTGACCTTTGGTTAGGCGTTTATGTTCATTCACTCTTATTTTGAGTGATCTGGACGTTTGCCCCACATATTTGGTCGGACAGTCAGCACAAGATATTTTGTAAATCAAGTTGTTTTTATCCATCATTTTAATGGGATCTTTCAGTTGATTTATTTTATTTTTGATAAGATTTGTCGTAACAAATATCGTTGAGGTCCCCTGGGTAAATTAACTTCATTAAAACCACAATAATACTACTGATGTCTTCGCTTTTCATAGTTTGGAAATAATTATGAACAACGTTCATGATATCTTTATTAGTTTCTTTTTGGTTGATATACAGGGGGGGGTCTGAAATCACCTTGAGCGCGTCTTCTTGCAACTACTTCATAATTTGATATGAGAAGTGAGCTTGAGACAGTAGAACACTGTTTGGATTTTAATTGATGTTGCTGCTGGAGGTTTGACATTATATCTCTGCATTAACTCCTCAGTATGCTTAGAAAGCGTTCAAAATCTCAAGTTATCTGAATCAGTATATCTACATAAATTGCACAGTATTTCTGTAAGTACAGAATTCGAACCTTGGTTAAATGTTCTTCAGTATTAGGTCAGTGCACTTTATTTAATACACACTGATGTTATATTAAATAAATAATTAATTAACGTGATGAAGTTACGAGGACAATTTATTCATACTAATCACATTATTACCACACCCTTTCTCTCGGACGAACGCTGTCGAGAAAAAAGAAAAAGAAAACTTCTGTTGACTCCATAATTGTGCCACTTTCTTTTATCTCATTTATTCAATTCACATATTTCCCATTATCTTCCTAGCAAGTTTCGAATTACCTCTCAGCTATGGATCTCTATGGTGACGTAGCCATACAGATGAATGGTTGTATCAGAAAACCTCATTTAAGAAATTTAGACTATCCTTGAAATTTTGAGAAGTTTCAATTCCTTCAGATATCTGATGGCCTACTATTTTCTTATCCTTCTCCCTGAATGGATTCCTGTGAACTTGTCATCAATGAAATTTGAAAAGCCTAAATTTTTTTCAACGAATTAGACATAGTACTTATATTTGAACATACAGTAAAGTGCACGCCAGTTTATGTCAACTTCCTATTCATTGGTGAATTATGCATGCATTAAGATCAAAACATTGCGGAATAGCTGAGATTATTATCATCACTGATTTTTTGTGCAATTTGACTTTGAACCATCTTAAGCTAAAACCCTTAAAATCGACTTCTTGTATTGACCAGAGTGCCATTTAAATTCTTTTATTCTTCCGTCCTATTAAAGTGAATCATTTTTAAACGCTTCAAGTATTCACCTGAACAAAGTACAGCACGCGTTTCAAATTACACATCAAGATTAACTTTCTATAATTCACTATAAAAGGATTGAATCTCATGACTGAGTTAATTTTGAATACATAAGTGTTGATATGTAAGTTTTCTCAGTATTTGAATTGAAATTTTCCTATATATTGACGACACGATTTGAAGTGAACTGAAAACGCTCATAGGATTACCCAAGAACGACTAATTAAACACATAGTCTGGGTTATGTAGACACAGAGTTCTATTTTATGCACCGTGGAATTTTCTTGAATTTATTGAATTAGCCAGTTGTGAAGCTTTCTTCCAGACATTTTCCATACTCTGATCTGAAGTGGCACTAAGATGAACGTATCACCAAGAGTATATTGTATTAATCCAAAAGTTTTAATCTTGATCTCGGTCAAATAATAGTAATTTACTTCATGTGTATCAAATTCTTTGATCTAAATGTGATTGCGTTTGCTTGCATGCTAGAATTGAGGAATTGAATAACATGAATGTTCATTATTTTATGGTGATGGAACTGCAGATAAGTTTTACGTAGAAGAGAAGTAAAATAGTCCACTGAATATACCTCCATGTACGCATCGTAGTTAATTTGCGAAAGTTTTCAAGTGAACGACATTACAGTAAAGTTTAACTTTAGGACTTTTCCAATTCAAAAATTTGATATTGAGGAAACTATCACATTAACCACATTTTACTCTTCAGCATCCACTGCAGGAAACGCCTTCTGTGATTTTATCCAGACAGAATACGCAAAGCAAGGAAAGCACTTTCCACACGGAAATAATGATTCAGACGATTTCCACGGGATTGAATTTGAAGCCGAAGGAAGACACATTTAAAGAATACATCACATTGGTAAGGACAATCTGGTTATTTATCTACACAAAAATCTACAATTAGGTTGGAATTGATGTGATATATTTGATAATCATCATGTTGGCAGTCATGATTATCATAGGCAGCATGTAAGATTGAAATTAATCATCCAATCTTATTCTCACATAGAACAGCTCTTCAAAATTTTTTTTATAAAAATATCGCCGTCACATTGGGAATTGTGTAAGTCAATTGTCTCAGTTTGTCATTGTCTCTTCTTATGGATATCGAGGTTGGTGATTATTCTTCTGTTTGAAAAATTCCGATGCTTTTACATTGAAAGTGTATGCATCATATCCACAATATTTTTTTTCATTTAGCGTTTTTGCTGCCGCTCTGTTGGTCTTCACCTTTGCGGTCACGAAAATTCAGGAAAACTTTTGGTATTCTCATATTGCTTATGGACTAATCGTAAGTATTCTGTTTGGTTGTGGAATGCAGACACCATTAAAACTTGGAATTATTGTGTTTTACACTTTGTATGTTTAAAGTTTCACGTAGGAAAGATGCGCTTAAACATGTTTATGTATGAGGTAACTATGCGATTTAAAAATGTATCATAGATGTACAATATCAAATGCTATCTTTGAAATTTGTGGGAGGTTGCTCACATAGACTCAGGTACAGAATATCTCTTGTTACATGTATGTTTGGAGTTATGACAGTGATATAATACAATATGTAACTGTGAATAAAATGATTAGGCAGAACAAGGTGATCAATAGTCATCCTCATATGACAACATTATTAAGATGTTGCTTTCGCATCATCAAGGTAGTTATCAAGAAACGGATGCCTCAACTCACTGTCTCCTATCTTTAAAAAGTTGAGATGTATATGTGAAACATGTAGCTTTATCTGAAATCTGTAGATAAGCGACGAATATTGCGTCAGTTGGAAGCTTTGCTGAAATTGAAAATTAGAAATAATGCTCTGAAAATGACTGACAATGGTACACTACAGTTTACAGGTCACATTTTATCTTCAATAATGTTTCACCAATGTAAAAAATATCAGTAGCTGTAGACCGTCATCCATGTCAAGACAATCTTTTCTTGAATTCACACTAATTCAGACTGATAGTGGAAAGCATTTCACCGATATTACTTGACAGACTTTCTTTTACTTTATTCTCTGAACAAGAAAAACGATTAGAAGAATTTTGACATTGTCAGCTGTCAACAAGCTAATGTCTCTGGGTGAGATAGTAAACAAACATCAATTATTGGATCTATGAAAGCTAAAACGAACTTGATAGCCTGATTTGATACTCTGCAATAATGCACACTGTGGACCTTCAAGAAATCAGGCAGGCACGTTTACCACTGCTTCATTTGAACGCAATAAAACAACCTAACAAGTTTAAACACTGTCATTTTAATCAGCATACATAGTGTGACTACTAGAAAATGATATGCAGACTCCATCATCCAGTCACTAGTTAGTATGTGTAACATCAACTTTCACATGTTGGTCTACAAGGACTTGACCGAATGACTAAAACAAACATTGTATCTACACATTGAGTTCTGTGAAATAAATCAGCCATATCTAAAGCGAGAAAGCAAAATGGAGGAATTACTGCTATTATTCTCTTCACATTTATCGAAGGAACGGAACAGTCTCATCGCAAAAAGCACGAACGATATACAAGTAACTAAAACTAAATGAACTGTAAACATGTCAGACAGAAATGCTAAGAGAAGCATAGAAAAGCATACTGATGGAAGGGATGAACTTCAAAATTAGTAAAAAAGATTAAAACCTGAAGACATTATACCTGTGATTGAAGGAGCACAAGAAGGACATGACAAGCAAAAAACAGAATTTCTACGCACACCATGTGCATTGACCTTAAAAATCCAAAAGCAGAAAAACTAAATGCGACAAATACGGAAATAAAAGCGCTTCAAGACATAAAAGCCGACAAATACATTGTCATTACTCGAGCAGACAAAGGAAACACAACAGTAATACTCAACAAAACGACATATACAGAGAAGATAAATTAACATTTACAATCTGGACCCTATATCCTAATGACGAAATCATTAGAAACAATCACAAACAAACACTGAAAGAAACAGCAAAGGTAGTTAGACAGATGAAAGAAGTAATTGGTAAGTCAAAATGTTTTAAAATTATACTCTAACCATGTGATATGCTTAGGATATATGGCAAGATAAAATGACAAGAATGAAATTTGGGAACTGCGTCTGTTAGACTGCGAAGTACAAAGAATAACAGATGGCAGCATACAAACGACGCTATATAGGAAAACTATACATTCTGGAAGATTCCTTGATTATCACTCATCTCGTCTACTCACGGTAAAGCGAGAATTAATTCAATTTATTCCACAAATAATATGTTGACTTAGAACATCAGATGAACAGCATAGAAAAAATTAATCGTCTTATTCAAAATGCAACTCGACAACAACTACTTAAAAGAACTTATCCAAGATAATATAAAGAAGTGAAAGATGAGGGGAAAACCGCAGAATAACTAGAAGGAGGATAGTGAAAATCGATCACATCACCATACAAAATGGGGCATCAGACGCACTTTCGAGAAACTTCAAAAATATCGGGATTCCGACAACGTTTTAACCGATGAATCTAATTAAAATAAGAGAATTCAACTAAAAGATCCCACAAAAATGATAAATAAAAAAAGCCCAATGTACAAACAGATATCTTGTACCGAGTGTCTGGCTAAACATGGGGGTGAAACATCCCCATCGCTAAGAACGAGAGTGAATGAACTTAACGCTTAACTTAAGGTCATTCAACATGTACACAAGCTGACAACAATACAAAAATAATTCATCTGTAGTTGTGCATGCATGAGACAAAAACCCCAATATTGATTCGAACAATGTGTGTATTCTGAAAACTAATATTAACAAAATAATTCCAACAGTGGTGTAAATACGGGCAGTAATTTTGCTCGAAATATTACTAAAAACAAAAACTTATTATTCTGTATAAACCATGGAAATATGATTATACCTTTATTTGTTCGATTCCACAATGCTCAAAAGTTTTACTGACATTTAGTCTAATCAGCTCATCTCCTTTGCCACCACATTTCACTGACCGTAAGTTATCAATCCCTAATCATTTGATAATATCTGCATCACACACAGTGGTGCAACTCACTGGTTCTCATGCAACTTTCTCCGGCAAACTTGGCAAGTGATGTCACTTATAGTTTCACTCAGTGCGCATTCAAACATGTAATGCAAATGGGTTGGTAGTAGATTCCAGACTGGTGATATCCATATGACATAAGAGAACAGGTACATATAAATCCTGTAACCAATCAAATCCCTACAAACCAACACTGAATACATATAAAATTGTTTTGTATATTATTAAAACTCATCTCATTCCTAATATTGATAGTTACGATTACTTCATTCCAATCGATTTTACAGGTCCTACTCATATCCATCGCATACTGTTGTGTTTTTCATGAATTCGTTGCTCTCAGTATTTTTATAATTTTGAATGTGGTTCTAGCGCTAGCTGCTGCAATAGTTTTAATCGCTGTCAATCTGAAACGCTTAGATTTAACAGCGTTTACGGCAGTCGTATTTCTCGCAGTGCTCATTGCATTCATAGGACTCCTATCCATGCTTCTCTCCGTTCTGCGTGTCCCATTCTCTGTGAGTTCTTATTGTATTCTTTATGTGCTTGAATGAGCATTTTGTTAATGTCAGATTAATATAACTGAGACTTTGTGGTCACACTAATGCCACGAGAATTTAGTGAACCAAATCCACAAACGAAAAAGTTGCGTTTGATGGAGCCGTCAAATTTTGTAATTTGACAATCGTTTTCTGCTTTATTGCAGTGTGGTGATTAGTATTCTATCCTATCTAAGGAAAATTACATGAGTGTGTGCAATACAGTTTGGCTATTCGATAAGCGACTTGGTTTTAGGAAATTTCTATAAGACAAAGAGCATTGGCCCAGTTACGCAGTGATAAGGGTGCGCTAATTGTGAAGTGATTCCATTGAAGGTTATTCATCATTTAGCCTTATGCAAGACATCGATTGCCAGCACCAGATAGACCGTCATATTTGAACTGGTCAAACATAAGATACTGTGAATTTGTTAGGATGATTTTAGCAATTAATCAGAGTGAATCAGTGATTTTCTATGCAATTTTATCATGATTCAGTCAAACCGGACCTTGTGGAAACAGAATACTCCAGTTTTGATTTACGAAATAACGTTCAGACATCATTTTGCAGGGATTGGATGGCTTCAAAATTAGTCAGATACTGACATCACTCAGAAAACCACTGAATGCCAAGGAACAGTAGAGATCTGATTACTTCCTAATTGCTACTACCCCAGATTCGACTTCAGGTAGTGTCATACTTGCCAGGTTCTGAACATTCCTAAACTAATACAAACATCATGAGGGCATTTCTCTGATTTAGGTGGTTCTCCAGCTACAGTCAGCTTCTGATCATGATTAAACTCAGTAAAATCCTTAGAAACCAATAGTAACGTTTATGGACCATATATCTTCAATGAAGTCAATACTTTGTGTTTTCATTTTCAAATAATTCTAGGAAGCTGTGAGCGAACTGTGTCTCTGTTTCGGTGCAATGTTTGTGAGTTCAATCGATGTTTTTACCTACTATTTATTTCATTGGGTGATTTATCCCCTGAAAAACTCAAAAGAAGTAACTCAGAGAAAAGGTTTTTTCAACATTTTTGCTATCACGCTATTCAGTAGTATATCAGTTATGAATGAAGTGAATAGTTAAACAACAAGTGACCATATATGGCATGTATTTCATGATAAGGTTCATGGAATTTAGAAACTATAGAAAAGGCTTTGTAGCATTCATATGATTCGTAGCCAACAAATACTTTACCCAAGGAAGTGAGAATTATCATGAGACAACACTGAAGATGATCACATTGAATTAAAAAAAATAAAATTGACATGTGAGATTATAACGGAAATTACTCAGAATGGAAATAATACTCACTATCAAAGTAATAAGGAGTGAATAAACAAATGGAATAAAAACAAGAAATAAACGGATCATTTTAAGAATAAAGATTATAGTAGTTACCCATAGAATGAAAAGAGTTAAATGAGCATAGTTGTGAGACAGTGATAATAATTAAATTGACTATCACATAGTCATTGCCTCCACATTGTGAACATTACCGCAAGGACAGTTGTCGCATTGAAAACTAATACTTTGAAAACACTAGATATTGATTATGATTTAATTCGAGATGGCAGCCAGGGTCCCAGAAATTTTCTTTTCATGCACAAAACTCCCTTGTTTACACCTATTGCTGGCATTTAAATGATTCATCGGGTGCAGGTATTTACCATCAGCGGATAATATTTCCCCTTGAGCTTATTATGTCTTCAGACAGAGAGACGTTGATTTTTCATATTAGTCAGGTCTCTTCAAATAAATGTGGTCACTTTAGAAGCATATGTATTATTACTCAGCAATGACATACGGAACGACTTGTGCACTTCATATCTGAAGAGAATTGAAATTAGTAGAAAAACTTGAAGTTTTACACGTGCTACGGTTTCTGTTTCTAAGAGTTAATGAATTAAAAGTGTCAAGAGGTTACTTAACTCACCAATGGTTTATACAATGTTCTAGTAAAATGAACAAGCATCTTATATGTATTTAGTGGCTTCTAGCTGTAGCTTTGAAGTTTTGGAAGCAGTGGTTTTCATTTTTATGGGATTGCTTTGCCAGCCCTATGCTTAACCTTCCTTCTTCACCAGTCCTAATACTGGCTTCGCGATGCATAGGAGTGCTCCTGCCAGGGACTGAACCTCAGACCACATGAGTGGTCGGTGACCCTATTACCGCTGTCTCTCCGACGAACGCATGTTTTATTTACAGTGCCAAAGAGGAAGTATCTTTGGAACAATAGCCAGATACACAGTATTTCTTCTGTGCAATCATGATCATAATGTCAGATTGAGTCATTTGATCCTTGTTCGGAAACACTCACTTTTTCATTTAAAAAACAAAACGCGTCATCTATGTGGCCTCATTTATCGTGATATATGAATAACTGCTTAATGAGACATGTGAATGCAATTAATATTTACCATTGAAACAATTAGACTGAGTGGCGCTATTTTCGGAAATCAGCTTTAATACAAAGTTCTCAATCATGATTCCCACATCAGTTGGGTTTTTATCTTATGTCAGTCTTTTAGATTGGGCTTAAAAATGGTGCTTTGAAGTTTTTTTCCTATTTACAGGGTTTATTCCTTCTTGGAAATACAGTACGCTGCTGCGTAGGGAATAAACATCCATTCTGTTTTGTAATGAACCAAGCGTTCTGTTTCTGGATTTTCATTACTCTCTTATTCTCGGCAATTTACCTGTTGACATTACCTCTAAAAACGAATGCTGCTGAAAGCGTGCCAGAAAAACCTGAGGTAATCTTTTTTATAATGACTTTGAAGTGTTACATTGATGTTTCTATATAGAGCATCTATAGTATGTGCGTTTGTTTGTGTTTTGAACTCACTGATTAAAAAAGATTCTATCTGCAGCAGTTGTCATGGTGTGGTCTTGAACTAGCACAGAATAATAATCAATTGAGAACAAAGATTTTTACTAGGGTTATTGCGACTGAAATATTAGAAAGACGTTGGTTAGGCTCAATACGTTTGCCATGAAAGATAAATTCGCCTGCAGTTTATCTGCCACTGTAGGATGAATTTGCACTATTGTAGGATTTTGTTACATCTGTAAAGAAGCTATGGAGGTTATGTGTCTGTCCTGGAGAGAAATCGTTGAAAACATTCTGACTTTAAAAGCAAGACATTTCGTCTTAAAGTCGAGTGGTTCACTTCCAGTGGCATGACAACTTGACACCCTTCAGTTTTTTTTCTTTTGTTGTGAAATGAATCGGTAATAATTAAAACAAAAAACACAGCTAAATGTAAGAAGTTAATTGGTGGATGGTGACTAGCAGTGGAATCGAGAATGCGCATTTCGTCCTTTTTGGGACTTGCCATCTGGATGCACCTGCATTCCGCAGTGAGTGATTATGTTCCCACCGAGGTTCGAAGTCATTGCAAACCTGAGACCAAGCACATCGGTTCAATCGATCGACGGGAAAATCTAAAATTTAATTCAAAGTTAAATATAATTTAAAAAGTCATCAACAGTGATATTTTTCAACAATATGCCAAATTTATCATTGGATCGGTAAACATGTCCAAGCTGTATAAGGAATATTCTGCTTTATATTTTGTCTCAGATCATGGACAGGTACGAGCACAATTTCAAATCAGTTGCCATGAGGGCGCTAAGCGGAAACCAGAAAAAGGTGAAACGATTCTTTCGAACCACTTATGCAAAACAATATTCGCTCACTGAACATTTCAATGAAGACTAAAAATAAAGAATTTCAGGAACCATAATGATCATCTCCAGCGAAAAAGGAGAAAATGAATAAACTGAGTGGCTAGCTACTGAAGGACAGCTAGAAACTATCCATTTAAAACGCAACCACATAAACGATCAAGACGTTGGTAGACAGTATCTCTGCTCAGCGTATCATCAAGGCTTTGAAAAGTAAAAAGAAACCATAATATCAGTAAACGTCTCGCTTCTCAATGAAGCTTCATGATCAAATATGACTTACAAAGTAGCAGGATCAAGTCCATCAAGCAATTTTCATGTTTAAGTCTGCTTCATAAATAGGAAGTACAGATTCATTTGAGAAAATACAGTTTTTGTAGTTTCATTCTCATACTTCATAGTTTGTTGTGGAATATTCAGTGTCTGTGGCACAGCGATAAGGACGCTCGTCGACCATGCATGCTGAAAATTTCATACTTGTTTCAAAATAAAATAATAAAATTTAAAAAAAATAAAAATAAAATTTACCACATATTCGTTCAACCCTTTTTATAAGAAAATTAATTTTCTTTATTTTCAGTCTGATTCCCAGGACACAAGTGGACAAGTATATCACGTCAAGTAAAAATTTCAATTTTGGAAATCCATTCAGAAACGCTGAATGTCATACAAAAATACAACATTGCATGAATATATACTGGCACTTTTATTTGATGTCACTGATATAACGTATATGTTATTTATTTCTATGATTATAGATCCGCTATTATTAATGATGTTATGCATTTAATGAAATGAAACATAAAATGCTGAAATTCGGCAGTTAAATTCGTGTGTATTTATAAGGGCTTATTTGTTATATGTTGTAATTTCTGAAATATTGTGTTTGGTTCGATGATCTCATCAGTTATTTGATGAATAACCCTTGAGTTTGTCTCTAGGTGAGACTGATTCATAAGAGATTTGAGTGTCCTGTATTCAGAGAAAAGTGGAATGCTTCAGCCATACTCGCATTTGATGAGTTTTATCATACCAGTAGATTTACTTGCTAACTCTTTCCAACTTGACAAAATTGTATTCATGCACAAACATTGTGATTTGATTGTGATCATTTATTAGACAACAATCATTATCAGACAGGTTAATTGATTTGAAGAATCAGGCCGTTCAGATAGAAATGTTAGTTGACTATTAGTATTGTGGTCACCAATGAAAAATACCATAAAGGATGAAACTCTGAGTCTGATCTGCACCTTATCATGTGGCATATTTAACAGTTGAATATCACCTTTGGTTTCAGGTGTATTTCAACGATTCTTTACAGTAAATTTTCGTCCTCTGTTGTTATTCAGTTGATGAAATTGAGGATACGATGCTAAAATGAAAACAATAAGAACAAAGTTCTATCAAAATCGTACGGTTGCATCAGACGGTATTTCAACGATATAACCAGTGTGTACTGTAGGATACTCCAAAAATTAGAAAAACACTAGAAGCAAAGAGAAGTGTGCTGGCATGGTTAATTAAGACACAGCCGTGTAATTGTTGGGAAAGTAGGTACAAATGACACAGGCACGATTGACATAGATATTGCCATTTCGAATGCATCCAGCTTCAGCATCACATCTACATTCCACGTGGTAACCTGCTATTATTTTCATCTAGCCTCAGAATTACCCACGTGCTTCGTTCCCAGCATGCATTATCGACGCCATGTATCATAAGATATCAAGCAGCTTGGCAGTTATTGTGTTTATTTATTATTTTTTTTATTTTATTTTTATTTTGATTACAGCTTGATTCCACACCGTATTTTCAGTACAAGAATGGAATTTTCAGCATGGATATCGGTAGCCCAAATTTCAGGCCGACCGTAGATATCAGGTGTCCGCCGGCAAGGGATCGAACCCCGGACCATATGCATGGTCGGCGAGAGTCCTAACCACTGTGCCACCGACGCACACACGTCAGTTTCAACCATGAAGTGACTTCATTTTGTAAACCATTCAAAACCAAGGAGTGCTGAACAGCTGCTTCGTACTTCTTTAGGACGTTCTCCTCATGTATTTCGAAGTTATTCTCAGTGAATTAATCGTTGCTTCACTACACGTTTTTGGATTGGTTGCAGATGTGCTATGCAATAAAACTTAGTGGAATATGTGCTTAATTGTTTGGAAAACTAATCTGTATAGATTATCGTCATGGAAAATGATGTAAGACTGAATAACACTGACACTTTCAGTTCATGGTTGGTGAATGTGACCACAGTATCGTCTTCGGTCGATTCACGAACGCTGAGAACTGCCAATCTAAAAATCAAAAAAGTGTTTGATATATGAAGGCTGTTATTTCAGTTTCGTCTACTCTTGATGTAAAGTGCTACATTTGGTTGTGTTAATTAGGCAATATTTGTGTCAAAACTACACTTTCATTCATCCATGTAACGGTTAAGTTTAGAGTTTAATTCAATTATGTGATAAATTTAACTGAAATCTAGATCCGATTTCGCGGATGAGCGCTATAGTATATTTGGAACTATCAAATATACTCATTCCACTGTAGGAAAGAAGAAGTGGATAGGAATATTTGTTTGGATCTGCAAAGAGATGTTCCGTCTAAGCTACTAAATAAAGAAACCGTCACTATCTGGCATCACTCAATCTCTCCTTTTACTATTTGTTAACTGGCGTATCTTACCTATTGTAGTCTAAACGTGTGAACTAACCTCTCATTGTTTTCAAGAAAAATAATTCTCAAAACACTTATGACAAATAGATTTTGTTTTGAGTGTTATTTTTTTAATGAGAAAATAGAAGAACTTTGCTCAACTCTAATTACAATAATTAGTGAAATATTGTAACTATTTTCAGGCGATGAAAATAAAAATGTTTGGTCTTTTTTACTCTCCACTTATTCATGAATCTACTGAGGTTCCGCACTCTGAATGAATTTGAACTGTGTACTCTAAAACTGTACAAATTGTTTATCAGTAAATGTTACTATATTGATAATAACGATTTATTATTCTACATAACATTTCAACAAATAATTCGTTTGTTATAGAGGAGATGCAAAGTCTAATAGTAAAACATCAGCATTAGAATAAACATGATTGATCTGCATAAGGACACTCGATTTCTTTTGAAATAGGGATTCAAGAAAGCCGCCTGATGTGATTTTAACAGACAAATAATATTTTAGAATACCAATATTGTTAAAATAAGGATTATTCAATGAATGGCAATATTCAGTCTAAAATCAATTTCAGAACCAGTAGTACAGGTAGGCGTGACGAGTCAGTGTACTACAAGCTACCGCAGAAAAAGAAACAGAATATTCAGCCTTCATACCACACCTTTCGCACTGTCGCCTAGAAGGTTAAAAAATTATGCGTAATTTTCCAGCGCAGAATAAATACGTTTGATCCAGACAAAAAGTGAGCCAGTATTATTGATTGATAATGTTTTGAGCACAATTTACAGATTATAATAATATCAAGACATTCACGTAGCCTTCAGACTTCGTATACATAATTCTCTCTCACGTTTTGGCATTCATATTGCACGTGTTAAGTAAAGATGCAATGACGAAAGATTCAGTGATGAACATCTCTATCCACCTGCTTTTATTCCATTTTACAACAATAGCTTTGATTGAATATTTATGTATTTTTTGAGATTGTATCATGTTTCCCTAAAATATTAAACCTAATAGGGTTGTTCATGGTCCCCTTAGCTTAAATATGATGTTCCAATGATCTGCACATTCACAAATAAATGTTTGTTTCTTGATGAAATTGTACTCTACAACATTGATCAAGACATAATCTTATACCATTGGTACCGGTTATTTTCAAGAGTTGATTAGTATGGATTCATTTTGTTTCTCCAGTTTGACCGCAGATTTATATTATTTCGAGAATCACTGGAAAACAAGGAGTACTGGACAAACCCAATCCATCCAGATCAACTCTTGCTACAGTACTGAGTTTCCTACAGTTCTAGCGAGAAGTTGTGAACAGTGAGGTCCATCCACTTAAGTGTGAAGATGGATTTCCCGTCGATGACAGTGGTTTTTGTCTCCCAAAAATCACGAATTAGTAGAAGTTAGAATTCATGGGTCAATGAATCAGTTCACAGTGGCTGAATGATATACGAGCTTGCCTTGTAACCGCGAGGTCCTGGGTTTCAACGCCAGTGGGTGCGTACTACCAACGATTCTCGAAAACCTAGGCTGAAACAGCTGTCCAGTACCCCTTGGTTTTCAGTGATTCTCTAACTGATATCAATCCACGTTACGACTCGGAAAACATGTTTACTTTACTTGTGATATTAAGCCCGTCCAATTTAATGCTTTTATTTATCAAAATAAAGAATACTCGCCTACTTTGATTATTTGGTTACAAAAATATATGTAAGCTAAAATGTAGGCCACAGTTGACTAGATATGTAAACACTGATTTGGAAATGTTTCGCAGGTACAATAGATTCTTATGATTTGAAGTTATTTAAAAATAATATTATCAGTTTGATTATTGGTTGGACATTCACGTGAAAAGGAAGATGGATGGCTTGTTAAAGTGTGCTAATATCCCTGATATCCCTGCATTCTTACAACCCTGAACAACATTTCGTTTGAGAGAAGATTCATATTTTAGGCAGCTGAAAAACCACAAACGCCGGAGGACTTCTCGAAAACTGGTCAAATTCCACTGGTAAATTGAAGCAGATAAAGTTTACCAATTCACGAGATTACATTTACACCAAAAAAAGTCAAACTTCAGTCAGAAGAGTGAGGAAACCCACGAAAACGACTAATCACTTTCAGAGCCAACAGTAGAGATAACCAATATACTCATGGAGAAATTTAAAATCTCAGTTCAAAATGAAGTATGAACAGCAGATTTTGCATAGTATTGCAATGAAGGATTCGCAATTAAGCTATCCAGCTCATAGAACAGAACTCCATGAAGTAATTTTTTTATTGTGCTGCCTTTCTATTACTTATTGTGCTTCTTCGGCTTCCTTCCATGTTTTTCGATGCTGTTCAGCAATCATAGTTCATTTCTTGTCTTCACCTGATAACAATCTTCTTTGCGTTAGTCAATTTCGCCTTAGATAGTTTGAATTTTTATATAAGAACCTAAACACTGCTGTTGAATTCTTCAGGTAGCACACAGTTCACCTGTAGAAAAATGTTTGCCCTTTTTCATTCTGATGTACTCTTTCTCCTTCAGCTGTATTCAGCATCCAAAATCACGAGGTCCTCATGCAGATTCATCCAACAGAATATAATGCTTCATGTACCTCTGTAGGTGTACTACAGCTCATTACATCTTTCATCTAACTTACCATCTTGATTAGGTTTCGCTTGGTCTCATCTGTTGTATAAGATGTCAGCTAAAATGTTATTATTTAATTGTCTTCCTTATTCTGGAGGACTTGTTTGTAATCATCTCCTGCATCTTAACTAAAAGATTCAAAACACTGTGGTCGTATTTGTAATGTTGCGTTTATCGCTTGCCTGTACAGTAACTGCTGCAGTTTTGCGTTTTGTAAAGCCCAGGGAAATAAGTGCATCGAAAAGGTAAATTAAGTGTTACACTTAAGCATATATGTATGTACT